TTTTTTACTGTTTCTTTGTTTTTTTTTACTTATCACTTTTTTTTTAATAATGTCTTCTTATTTTTTTAATTTTTATTTATTTAATTTGTTTTTATCAATGTAATTTTTTTAAGATTTTTATTTATCTGATTTACTTTTTTATTATTTTTTCTTATTTTGTTTCTTATTATTTTTTACTTTTCAATCACCTTTTTATTTTTTTATTTAAGCGGGAGACGAGCTAAATCACGTCTTACCGCTCCATGCGCCTGGCCACGCCCCCTATTTTTAATTTTTATTTAAATTTTTTTTTAATCAATTGCAGTTTTTTTTCAACTAACTTTATTGCTATCACACAGGAGAAAACAATCCCCTGTGTGATAGCAATTGGAGGTGACAGGTTCTCTTTATTGACCCTGCCATCTCCAATACAGGAGTTCTAGCACAGCACTGTGCTAGAACTCCTGTGACAGGTGAGAGAGGAAGAGCACAGCACAGCACAGCTCTCCCCTCTCACTGTGTACATGGAGCGGCAGAGTTACTTTTAACCCTGCCGCTCTGCTCCCTGCAGTGAGGAGACGGACTCCAGAGGAGAGAGGTAGGTGCAGGGGGGAGGGGAGGGGAGGAGGCTGCACACTGTTTACATGTGATCTCGGCGACATCGCATGTAAACGAACAATCGGCTTCCCTCACTCTACATTTAGTCCGGCTTGTACAAAGCAGGACTAAATGTAGAGAGGGCAACTTCCCCACAAGGACACCGCTGCCGCCCCTCTGCGCCCTGCCGCCCCGGCGGCCTTGTGGGGAATCCGGGCCTAGATATAGTACAACAATACTCAATAAAGGAACAAAAAGCACCAAAAAAGAAAACCAATGCAGCCACCAAATCTAAGGATTGGTAAGCTGCAATATATTACATATTTGTTTTTGTGTTTAGATTCGCCAACCCAAAATGGAGGTCCTATGGCCAGCTGAAGGGGGAATTAAAGGTTTCAAGAAGTCTGTCTGAAGATGTCTTTAAAGCTCAGTAAAAGCTTGCTATACACACTGCTCTTAAACAAAGTAAAGCCCATGTGTATGAGGCTAGTCATCCATGTCCCCGCATGTTATGATCTGAGGCCCTCTTTTTGCCTTGAAAAGCTTTAAAATACCTTTACAGAAAAAGCTGCTTCCAGCCCTCACGCTGCAGAGGTCTATGCTGGCAGAGCTGAGTAACAGCCACACCCCTCATCACATACTTGTGTTGAAGAGAAGGGGAGAGTTTGACTCAAATGAGAAAAGATGGATATTTTGCTCGGTTTGTGTAAAGCTTCCTTACAATCTAGACTTGTGCACCGTCAAAAAATTCGTTCTGTTTCGTTTCGGAATATCCATTATTTCGTAATTCGTAACTGAACTCAATTCGGATTCGTACGAAATACGAATTTTCGTTAGTGGCGGTTATATTTTCGTAACTTTATGAACATTCGTTATGATGAAGTTAAAAAGCAAAATACCTTTGTTAATATTGGAGTGGTAGTTGTTTTTTTTATCCGAAATACGAATTCCGTTAACGGATTCCGTATTCCGAATTCCGTATTTCGGACTTTAAAAAAAACTACCATCAACTCCAATATAAATGTACTTTGCTTTTTACCTTCAATATAACGAATGTTCGTAACGGAACGAAAATACGTCAACGGAATTTCGTATTTACTGCCTGTATTTGTAATGCAACTCTCAGCAGCAGAAGAGAACCTCTGATTGGTCAACCAAAACGAAATACGAATTCCGTTAACGGATTCCGTATTCCGAATTCCGTATTTCGGACTTTAAAAAAAAAAACTACCATCAACTCCAATATAAATGTACTTTGCTTTTTACCTTCAATATAACGAATGTTCGTAACGGAACGAAAATACGTCAACGGAATTTCGTATTTCCTGCCTGTGTGTGTAACTGTGTATTGTAATGCATCAGCAGCAGCGGATCCGTATCTCGGATTAAAAAAAAATCTTGTCATGTTGTTCAACCTCATTTACAGGGGTAATATTAGTTCCTGTTTCAAAGAAATTCGGATCCGAAATTCGTTAACGGAATTTCGTATTTCGGATATAATTCGGAAACTGCCATTCGGATTTCGGATGCTCCGAAATTCGGAATTTCAGGAAAATTCGTACGAATTTCAATTCGTAACGAAACGAATCGCACATGTCTATTACAATCTAGTCCGGACACTTTACACAAATTCAACAAAATACGCGTCCTTTGACACTTCAGTCCAGACCAGATTTCATTCCTCTGCTCCTTTTCAGCCCTGTAGAAGGGGGACTCTTGCAACCCCCAGAATGATTTTATTCTCACAGGGACACACCTTCTAAGCCATCCTCACTCAACTTCTTCTCTGAAGAAGTGGGGCTTTTGCATTGGATTTTATTTTCATAGGGACACACCTTCTAAATCAGGGGTAGCCAAACTCCGGCCCTCCAGCTGTGGTGGAACTTCAAATCCCATTTGGCATTGCAAGAGTCTCACACAGACATGAGAGAGATGCATCATGGGATTTGTAGTTTCACTACAGCTGGAGAGCCGGGAGTATGTCTACCCCTGTTCTAAAACATCCTCATTCAACTTCTTCCCTGAAGAAGGGGGACCCTTGCAACGCCCAAAACGCATTGGATTTTTGCAACCCCTGAAATGCATTGGATTTTATTTTTAGGGATCCTGACACACCTTCTTAACCATCCTCACTCAGCTAGGAATCTGTCTGTGCCCCTGTTGATCCCATCAAATACACAGGAAGTGGGAATATTCTGCCTCACTTCCTTACTTCTGGCACCTATGAAATAGACTGGAAATGTGGAGATAATCCCTCCCTTCCTGCCCTAACACCTGTCACACAGGAAGCAAGGAAACAATCTTCCAAATGGGGACACAGAAAGAAATGGACAGTGAACAGAGCTTCTCTTCCAACCAAAACTAGAAGAAAAAAAAAAAAGGTTGTGGCTGAAGTTGGACTTTGAAGGAGAACTATGAGGCGGGTGCTTCTCACTCACCTCATAGTTCTAGCCGACCTCTGACAATGAGACTGTCACAGGTCGGCTCAGTAGATCGGGAGGTGAGCGAACACATACCGGCGTTCGCTCACCTCTCGATCCTGTCACGGCTCTGTGCGGTGACAGGGGAGGGGCTGGATTCCCCCCTCCCCGCACCGATCCGTCAGCGCTGACTGGCGGAACGGGCGGGTACAGCTGGCTCTGCCTCTAGATAGGCAGAGCCAGCTGTCAGTCACGCAGCTGGGCGGATCCCGGCATAATTGTTGGGATCCGCTTCAGCTGCGGCGTCTCAGTATACCGCGAGCAGCAGCTTGCGGTATACTGAGCCTAGGGTGACGGGAGGACGCTAGTTTGTGTCCTCCCGTTACCCTTAGGAGAACTATGGGGAAAAGCCCTGACCCCATAGTTCTCCTTTAATGTCTAAAACAGATTATACTGAATACATGTGTTCAACTTGTGTCCCCAGGGCAGGGAAAATAGCCCTTCTCCTGACGTGAGCCACTTGTGGCCGGTAAAGTTAAAAAGTGTGGTCATTTTTAGGT